TTGCAGGACTGGCCTAGGGGAAAATTTTAATGGGGTTTTAAAGCAATTTTTAAATTAACTTGACCAAATTACTAATATTTGTTTTTACTTATGTTTTTAAATTTGTAGTTTTTGGGGATTAGTCTTTTATCTGGTTGTTAGCCGCCCTGAGTCCGTAAGGAGAAGGGCGGGATATAAATTAAATAAATAAATAAATAAAATAAATAAATAAAATACATAAATGCATTTTTAAAGGAAAGAAAGAAAAAAAAAAAGAGCAGCTTTCTATCATGGCAAAATCCCCGATTCGTTGACAAGAGCCTCTGGTCTGCTGGAACTTAAAAACGTTCCCATATTGGATCCGTTTGAGCACATAGCGAAAGTGCAGACGCCACGCTTCGCATCACGTGCGAAAGGGCTTGAAGATTTACGAATGAATTACTGCGTGTCACGCTGCGGCTGCTGGCGAAGAGATTACCGATACCCGGTCCCGTTCACCCCGGAAGGAATCGCGCCTCGGGGCTCCTAAGACTTCGACTAACATCCCTCGTATCCATCAGCAGCGTGGATCCAGGGGCGAGCCACCCTTTGCCGGCTCCGGTCCTCCGCCTCCCGCGCTTCCCCAGCGCCTTTACCTTCCGCTCGCCGTGACTGCTGTACTTGTTGCCTTTCTTCAAGCCCAGCGACTTCTCCAGCAAGCTCAGCTCCTCCACGCCCAGCCCCGGGCCTACCGCAGCCGCCATCTTCGGCGGCGAGGAAAAGAGGCCCGGAAAACCGTTTTTAAAAGTCTCCGGCGAATACCGCGGTGATTGGAGGATGACGGCCCACCTCAGGCCCCGCCCTCCGGAATCGTTCTCCTTCCTTCTCGCCGTTGGTAGGCGGGACTGGCTTGGAAGAAGGGGCGGGGATGAGTTGAGATTGCCAATCGGAGGCGTTTCCCCCCCACCCCCCACGTCGGCTTTGGCGCGTGCGGGTCTTTGGAAACGAGCGCTTATTGATGCTTGTTTCGTTGGAAGCGCGTGCAGACGTTAAGGCAGTGTTTCTCAACCTTGTCAATTTTAAGGCAGGTGGACTTCAACTCCCAGAATTCCACAGCCAGCATTGCTGGCTGTGGAATTCTGGGAGTTGAAGTCCACATGCCTTAAAATTGACAAGGTTGAGAAACACTGCAGGTCTTAAGGGCTGTCTGAGTTGCGTTTTCTCTCGTGGGAAAAATGCACAGATGCACAACCATTAGCTTTTTTCCAACTAGGGACGGAACCGAGGAGTAAGCCCGTGAGCTAGGCTGGCCCGCCTGGCTGGGGAGGTCCATCAGAGTTGAAATTAGCATGATTAATCTTGTAAGAATTATATCTTCATAAAGACATCGACTAGGTTGCTTAATAATGGGTTCTCGATCAATGTGCCTCGGAGCTGCTGCAAAAAGGAATTAGGGCAGGGAATCTCTGGTTAGCCCTACGAGAAGCACCACCAGGAGTACTATTTTTGTCTTTCAACAGAATCTTACAAAAATGAAAGTATTTTTCACCTCTTTTCTTTTACTCTCTGGGAAACTTTCATGCTCTGCCCTCTTCTGTAGGCTGAGACTTCTTCTCCATGCTGACTATCCAGTCTGTGGCTCTCTCTCCTGTTTCCCAAGGTCATTCTCACATATCATTACCTTATCATTACTTTCTGTATCAATTGTCCCTTGAAATTCCCCAAAGAACAAAAAACCTGGCCAATTTTCTTGACTTTCATTTGTGGCTTTTCCAATTCTACCATATTACTGTAGTTTAATGAATGGAAAGGAGAAGTATGCCCATCTGTCTTTTGAAATGTGCAGCATGTATGCTGTTTCTTCCTGTTAAATAACTAAGAAATCTGACTGAAAAAGATGGTAAACTTAAGAAATGCTTTTATCTAGATAAAATTGCCTTATGTAAGCATTTTAATCTCTTCATAGTATATTTCTACCCCAAGCATTTAGCATATTATAAACGGCTGTGTTGTGGAATTCTGTTTCCACTGACTGGGCTATACCAGCGGTCCCCAACCCCCGGTCCGTGGACCAATACCGGCCGCAGCATGCCAGCAACTGGGCCGCATAAACAAAGCCCCATCCGTGGGATGCAGGCAGCACACAAAGCCATGCCCCCTTCAGTCCGCAGACAAACCTCTCCATGTAACCGGTCCCTGGTGCCCAAAAGATTGGGGACCTCTGGGCTATACTATAAAATACACACCTGTACATAATATGCTTCCATTCAAAAAGTCATGCATCACTGGCTGATCTTTGTTATTCCACAAAAAGAGATTGGTGTGTGGTGAATGTGGTGTTAGGCCTTACTAAACCTCCATTCCCAGCATCCTTTTTCTAAGATCCATTCCCAGCATCCTTTCTCACAAGCCAGCCTTGTGTTACTCAAAAACTGATAAATGGTTGAGATGTGTTTGAATATTAGTAGCTTGGGTTGGTAGTTGGGCTGTTGGTTTGATCGCTGAGCTTGGCGATTTGGCTGCAAACGTTTCATCTACATTTTTTGGGGGGGACATCTTCAGTGCACTCTGAAGATGCCCCCCTCCCCCCCAATGGAGATGAAACATTTGCAGCCAAATCACCAAGTTTGGCAATCAAACCAACAGCCCAACTGATAAATGATATCTTTCTTTTATTACTGATGCTGATGGTTATAACTCAGCATCAAGTGCTGTGCGCCTGACAAGTTCAGGAAACCAGAACCACTTAGTTTTCTGGAAACTTTTACAGGTAGTCCTTGACTAACAAGAGTTTGTTTAGTGACCGTTCAAAGTTACAACGGCACTGAAAATAGTGATTTATGACCTTTTTTCACACTTACAACCTTTCCAGTATCCCCATGATCATGAGATCAAAATTCAGATGCTTGGCAACTGGCTCGTATTCATGACCGTTGCTGTGTCCCAAGATCATGTGATCACCTTTTGCGACCTTCTGACAAGTGAAGTCAATGGGGAAGCCAGATTCAATTAATAATTGTTACTAATTTATCAACTGCAGTGATTCATTTAATAACTGAAGCAAGAAAGGTCATAAAATGGGGCAAAATTCATTTAACAAATGTCTCATTTAACAACAACTTTGGGCTCAATTGTGGTTGCAAGTCAAGTACTAATAGGGCAATGTAACAAAATCTTCAAAGTACCTAAAAACTTAATTCTGCACAACTTACATTTCAAGAATTTTTTCTCTGCAACAGGACTGTTTCCTTCCTTAACTGTCTTGCTGCCTTATTGTATTTCCAAAATCTTCAGGGCATTTCAACATGCTCACAAGCTTTGGGTTGGCACAGCTGCACGGTTATTTCCAAAGGATCAAAGGCTTACATCAGTATATCAGCATAGTGACAGCAGCGTTATGCCATCACATCACAAGCACTGCACCTTTCTGTGGATGCTTCTCTCCAATGGTCTGTTTAATTTGAAATAGTTTTCACCATATTATATAACTTAAATGAATATTTCCCAGGAGGATCATGGTTCCTGAAAAATTGCCTTACTTTAAAGAAGTTGAGACTCTCAAGAACCACTATGATTAGTTTTCAGGACTCAACAGGACTTTGACCAACATTGTTTCACATTACAGTGGGAGAGTCCATCATTATTGGGACTGAGTAGAGGTTTGAAGGAGACATTTCCATAAAATTGTAAGGGAATGGGGAAAAAAGACGCAAACAGGGAAATAAAGACATTTGTGAAGAGATAAAAAGGATTTAATCTTAAGCTGAAACAAAATTGGTGCCTGTAAAGAATCCAAAGCAGAATACTGAGGTTTTGTCCCTAATTTGGTGTATACAACCCCCATCTTCCTCAATTTCCTGAATCTCTGAATTCATCATAGTAAATTCATTGTAAAATATTAGTGGTTCTCCATTTATTTCTCGTTCAGCTGTTTTCCAGAGCCCATTTTCTGGGTTATTCCAGTAGGTGGCGCTTCATGCTTGATTCAGCTTATTTGCCTTCCAAATATGGTAAGAAACTGTTCAAAGTCAATGAGGCATGGATGAGGAGGCCGATGGTGTAGCTGTACTTTGCTGAGAGGTATGTAATCTATAAGTGTGCTTAAGACACAGACACACATATACAAAGTCCTTGTCAAGAACTGTCAGTGAAAAGAAGTTGAAAAATCTATTCTGTCAAAAGGCACCCAGCTCTAATCTACTGTTATCATAGTCAAGTTTTAACTAGAAAATTCCTTAGGTTATAAATTAAATGTCAGAAACAATTAATTTGGTGCTTGAAATATGAAGCGAACGACTGTTCTTTGGAGGAAGCCTGACAGCTTTATGGATGCATTTTGGGCTTACTTAAAATGAACTTTGCATGCTAAAGAATTTGAATATGTTATATTCCTCTTAGGAGCACCATAATGTTTTCTCTTTGCTGCTTTGGTTACTTCTAGACAAGATTTTTATTGTACAGTTACTGTTTTACTGATGGTATTTCTTGAAAAAGTGATGAGAATGGCATCTTCCCTTTGTAACGTCCAATATTTCCCACTCTTTATTCCACCTTTTTTGTTTTCCCCCCAGAAAAGTAATCAAATACCCAATAATGCCTTTTAACAGGTAGCCCTAAGGTTCTCTAGATAAAAATGACTCTGGGACACTGCAATGGTCATAAATGTGAGTCAGTTGCCAAATGTCTGAATTTTGATCACGTGACCATAGGGATGTGGCAATGGGCATAAGTGAAAAACAGTCATAAGACACTTTTTTCAGTGTTGTTGTAAATGAACTGTTGTAAGACAAGGACTACCTGTATTGCCTTTCTGGCAAATGAAAACATGTGAAGAAAAAGTGAAATAAATTCTATAGTGTAATTTGTTTCTCTTATAGCATTACCTTCCCTCTGGAAAATAGACCAATCTCACAAGACATAAACAAAATAAAGCCTTATTAAAAGAAAATAAACAGAAAGAAATCAAATGTAAACCTTTTATTTTTCAAGGACAAAATGCAAATACTCAAGATTTTAAAAAATCCAGGATTTACTCAAATTTCTCTTTTTCCTGGAATTTGCTCCATTTAAAGTCTGGTAAACACCAACCTGTATCAATGTGGAAAGTTACCAAGATCTGACTCTTCCGTAAAGTCTTTAAGTAGGGTGTGACATGGTATAGTATATTTCCTTCCTATAATACATAATTGTTATAATAAAGACATGATACATCAATGGCTAGGAATTTGATTCTCACTGGGTTTTGGAGTTTTTAATTTTTCTTTCTTTTTAATTTACATCATTTCTCAGCAGCTCTTTTATAATTTATAATATAATTTCATAATTGATATATAATTATATAATTGATATAATTTATAATATAATTATAATTTTATAATTGAGCAACATATTAATTGCAATAATGAATTAATAATTCCAATCAATTCTGAGGGTGTTAAATCTCATTCTTTTCTGCTTTGGTCGAGTAGCTTCTGTTTTGTTTCAAAAGCTCCAACTTTCTATTTTGCAAAAGAGGACAATGCTCAGGTATTCTGATTGTGTACATGACCCAAAGAATGCAACTCTCCCTTGTCTAGGCTCCATATGAATGGATGCTCAGAATCATCTACAGGAAATGCTACCTTATTGTGTCTCAGGAAATTAAAATTACTTGAAGAAAGCCCAAGTGTCTGCCCTTTCTAAGTCATGGGGACTGCCCTTAAATACAGAAGGATAATAGCTGGTTAACTGCATGGAGGATAAGAACGGGTTACTGAAAGGATTTCGGTGATGGGGTTGCTCAAAATTTGAAGCCAGTCCCGAGTAGCCTATTCTAGAACACAAATG